AGGCTCAAAGGTCCACTTTTTGGTCCACTTTTTATGTAAAGCTTCACTTTTTGGTCCACTTTTTATGTAAAGCTCCACTTTTTGGTCCACTTTTTATGTAAAAGATTTTTCTTGAAAAGACTAATCGTAGAAAAACTACTCCCTTTATCATTGAATAAAAAGTTATCTCTGATTTTTTTCTTGGAAATCCTCTCAAAAACGCACGAAATACCATTTTAGAAGGTTCATTTTTCTAAATTTTCAGGGGGAGCATGCCCCCAGACCCTCCTAGGAACCTTGAGCCTACGGCACTCGAGGTCCCCTCAAGCAGTGGGAAGAACCCCCCCATTCAAAATTCTGGCTACGGGCATGTGGTGAGGCAAATGCAGCCGCACAATACACCAGGCGAATACAAGTAACACAACAGTCTGACGAATGACGCTACATACAGAGGTTAATCGATGTTTGTTGAAGCGTTGGGTGATGCTTTTAGAAGGTGACGAACATGTTGACACTTGAAACTTGTCATAGCAACAGAGAGCACGAAGCAGTTTTTGTGGACCAAAAAGACATACCAAAGGTATTATGCAAAACTAGAGTTCGGCGATATCATACCTCCATGACATATTAAGTACATGACCATCTGTGAATGGCTTACATTTACAACCTTGCTCATTAACAAAATGTTCATGCAAATTATTTAAATGGCCCCTACCTAGTAACATGCAACACACTGGTGAAATCCGTATCATTTGACATAGACAAGGTACATGTATGACATTGTTGGTTATATGCAAGCACGACCTCTATTAAACATACATTTGCCAATTGAAAAAATGTTAACCGTCCAAACTGACTAAATATACATTTTTCACTGCGATTATGCAAATTTATAAGAGTTCCATTTGCATATGTTATATCAGTTGATCATATTCTCCACCCAATGACAGAGATAAGGCCATTCTAGCCTTTCCCCATAAGTTATGCAAATGAGGTCCTGATTTGAATAAATTATGTTCTGTGATGTTCACCTTCATTCAACTTCCAATTATGGCAAGTATTATATTCCCAGCAGTAACCACAATAAAATTGTAGCAATTTCACATGAATTATGCAAATTAGGTCTTCATTTACATAATTGATATCTGCCAATGACATTCATCGTTGTCAATTATATATGTCACACATTTCATAGCCCTACTATCGAACACAGCAGATCTATTGAATTTCTTTGTTAATTATGCAAATTAGATACTGATTTGCATAATCATAATTTGATTATGCCAAGCATCACGTAAACAAAAATGATGACGATCCATCAACCGGTTTCTTAGTTATCCTATCTCGAAATTTTTTAACAACCCGTCCTGCAGTTTAATAAAAAGCTGCTAGGGGGCCCAAATTCACATGACTTCTCCCCATGCAAGAGCTACCTACCAACGAAAAATTATGAGCCTAGCATGTCCAGGTCGCGAGATAGCAAACCCGAAAATTGCGCTGCAGTACCAAGAAAAGCCACTAGGGGGCCAAAAATCTAATCATTTCCAGTTTTCGTCACACCCTACCGACGCTCCATGTATGAAACCAATCCACCCAGCCGTTTTGGAGTTTTCTTGTCGACGAACAGACAGAATGAAAACCGCAACTGAAAATATAACCTCCACGTTATGGACGTAACAATCAGCGTACATTTTTTACCAATCACATTCAATATATTCAAACTATGAACACAATGTAAAAAAACAGCATAAGTCTTTTCTGCATCATAAAATAACATTCAAACACTCAACTGTTGCCATGGCAACAGTGACATAAGCAGAAAGCATGAAGCAATTTCTGTGGACCAAATAGAAATACCAAAGATAGAATGCAAAACAATGTTGTAGTAACCAAATTCAAAATATTTAGATTATGAAAAGAATAACGAAAACAACATCATTGTGTACAGCATTCGAATTGACACATTATGATCGTACCACAATTTACAAAATGTAGTATAAATTCCTTGGAACACAGGATAAGCTCCAGAGTACATTGTTCTAACATTGTTACGACCTACTAAAGGTCACATGTACATCCTTTTGTTAGTAACGTCTTGTTGGGATTTACCAGCCACATGTGATGTGCTAACGACAAACCTGGGATTTCTCGCTAAGTGTGTGATGTTTTCCCGACAGTAGTGAGGCAACGATTGGGATTTACTCTAAAGCTGCACAGAACGAATGAAGGGCTTGGAGGAAAATCGGCAAATTAATGTTAAATAAATTCTCCTTTAATAAAAGACTAGCCACTGTACACCCTAGGGGGGTTATCAATCGGATGATTGGCCCTCCAGGGGGCCAGACGCGGGATTTAGTCAGGCTACGTTTTGTACCTGTGTGTATCTGGCAAAGCCTGGTAATCAATCATTCGCTTGTACAGCTTAAGCAATGAAACAACAGCAACAAGAAATATATACATTTCAGTAATCAGGAAGAGAAATAGACTGTGCATAATGGATAATTGGTTTCAAAATATCACAGAATGAAAAGACATGAATCTAATGAATCGATACAAGAAGATTGGATTTGAACTAAAAACTTCACTGCTAAAATATATGGGACCATGTTTTCCAAAATACATGTAGGTTTTTACATGGTTATGTTTTCCATAGCGCATGTATGTGTGAAAGTGTGTGTGTGTGTGTGTGTGTAAGTGTGTGTGTGTGTGTGTGTTTGTGTATAAGAAGCTTTGAATGAATTGTTATGAAACTTCGTGAGTGGGTATGTCTTGATGAGACCTAGAAATGATAAGATTTTCGGAACCCTGGCGGCTTTCCTAGGTACTCAGCAGAACGTCTGGTTTTGATATCTCATGAAAGGCTAGGGTCACGAATTTTGGATGGTAGATAGCTCTTGGGACAGGGAAGAAATGGCCCCTAGCAGCTTGTTCTGGAACTGCAGGGCAGTTTGCTAAAAAAAAATCTTTGAGGGAGGATAACTCAAGAACCGACATGCGGATTGTCATGGTTTTTGGTAGGTATCTTAAGTGATGCTTGACATAATTAAATGATAATTATGCAAATCAGGAGCTAATTTGCATCATCTATGAGGAATTTCTATAAATATGCTGTATTCCATATGGCCTATGGAACATTGTGACATATGTAATTGAGAATGAAAGGAACATTTGAATATATAGATTATGTAAATGAAGAGAGACCTAATAATGGGGAAGAGTGACCTAATACTTAAATGGGGAAATTGCTATAATTTCATAGAGGTAACTGCCAGCCAGTTCATACTTTCCGCACTTGAAAGTTAAAGCGAAAATCAACAAACATGATTTATTCAAATCATAACCTAATTTGCATAATTGATGAGGAAGTGCTAGAATAGCCTTCTCTGTTAAGATAATACTGTCATTGGATGAGGAATATGACCCTCTGATATAATCCATATTGGAAATAAAATGAGGATCTTCAATCTTCAAATCAATTTTCATAATCAATGAGAAAATGTATCATTTCGTCAGTCGGAATGGTTAACATGATTTGGCGAAGGTATGAGATCGTGGAACTCTTGTTTTTTTTTACCTTTTTTAGGGATCCACAGGGATCAGTATTTACTGGATCATCCGGTCCAGTGTGAGGTGGTGGGCTCCATCTGCGTCATCACGTGTTCCGTTTCCTTAGCAACAGTGGCGACCATCAGTTTCAACAGATTCCTGTTTGTGTGCTACAACCCGCTTCACGACAGGGTTTGTATTACCTCTTGTCACCAAAAAAATTCATAATAAGTTGGTAGATGATATCATGCTCATCATCTCACAACAGGCTCACCGCTTATATAGAACATATAGAACTTTATTGCACGACAATTGCACATGGTACAATGTATAGCAAACTACATAAAGAGAGTAACAACAATAAAATAAGTGTATTGAACAAGACCTAATGTCGAATAAACCTAACAAATCTATATCATAATTATTCAAACAATAAGGGATAGCAGAAGTCTTTGATGAAGTGGACTAATCAAAAGTTTCGGAATTTTTTCTATTAACAAAGCATTCCTTTATATATCTACCTATTTTTGCGTTGTGGGGACCATTACATGTAAAGATATATTCAAATCTGTCTCTAACATCGAGACTTTTGAAATCTATTGTACTTGATTCGAGAAATGTAAATAGCTTGTTACGTATATAAAGGCAAACATCGCGTTATTTCCTGCGCAAAAGCTAACATAGTGAATCTGTGCAATTACACGCTTTCTGTTGCTGCATGAACAAAATTTTAGGAGTTATTGGTTTTCTTAAGAAATATCTTAAATAGAAAAGTATTGCAAACCAAATGCATAATGTTTATCTTCACATGGTCTAGCCTAAGAAACTGCTCTGTTTATTCTAACTCAAGCACATTCATCATTATGCTTATACCGCGACAACCACCTCCAGCTCTGTAACTTAATGTACCCCAACACCACCATGGTAACAGACGTCTGGTCCAGGTCATTGGCCTTACATGTATGTGTTTGGAGAAGAAGAAGAAACAAAGTAAACATAATAAACGGTTGTTTTGCTCTCTGGCCATGTGGATTGCCCAAGCGCAAGGCGGGTTTTGAAAAAAAACCCTCAAAGTCTACAGTTCGAAGTTGTCTAACAAAAAGACGTGGTCTCTATAAAATCATGTTGATTGCCCAATCAACATGGTTGATTTGGTGGTGGGCCGAGTTGACCAGGGCGGTGGGCCGTGTTGACCAAATTTGCTATAGGCCGAGTTGGTAATGGTCCGAGTCGTCCTGATTCCGCTCTCTGGCATCCCCGGTGCTACATGTATATCGTTCTGTATTCCACAGAAGAGAGTGGAAGCTTTTAGAAGTTTTGTGAATTCATTAGCGGAATCTAGGCAGAAATGGTCCTGAAGAGAGCCTGATGAAAGCACTAATCGTTAATGGCTTCCTCCGGTGAATTAGCTGTTGATTACAAGTTAGAGCTGCCGGGCGTCAATAGATAACACATGCGGCCCCGGATGGAGGACCTCTCCGAATAATCCTCAACCTTGAAAATCACCATGGTAACTCTGGTGGAAGGACACTGCAATCCTGGCGATGGCAACTGATGGAGGACCTCTACGAATAATCTTGAGCCTTAAACGGAATATAAATTCACAACTAGACTTCGGCGATCTCATACCTCCATGGCATGTTTAGTGCTTTCGTAAATCTTATGCATGGTGATGACCACCTGTAAATGGCTTACATTTACAATCCTGCTCATTTGCAAAATTTAGATTATACAAATAAGGCCCTGACTTAAAGGGAAGTCAATAGGTGGCCCAAAATCTAATCATTTCCAGTTTTTGCCACACCCTACCAACACACCAAGTATGAAACCAATCCATCCAGCCGTCCTTGAGTTATCTTGTTGACCAACAGACAGACGGACAGACAGACAGACGGACAGACAGATAAATGCAACTGAAAATATAACCTCCATGACATGTAATGGAAGTAATAATCACCCAGGTAACTCTGGTGGAAGGACCATTACAATCCCCGGTACTAATGGATTTATACGAGTTGGGATGGGATATTTTTTACTTTAAAGAGTGAGTCAGACGTGCAATTAATCATTTACACAATCTGTGAGAGCAGGAACCCATAGCAAATATTTTTGGCCAGAGCTAGAATCATCATATATGCCATTTAAATTACACGTGTACAATTGCGACTTAATGCTTTTTAAAATTAAGCGGATAACACCCATTGCTGTATTTTAGCTGCCAATATTCTAGAAGCATGTGTTTGATGCAACCATGGCCTCGACCGTCAAGAAAAAGATTGGATATGGTGAAGACTTAAAAGTCTAGAGGTGCTGGTAAGCTGCTTAGCTCTATGGCCGGAGAACATATGTGGAGTTACTTAAATTTGCCATATGGATCAAATCCTAGCCTCCACAAGGCTTTCCTACGAGGTATGGATCGTAGAATTCGACAAAAAGGGAAATAATTGGCCAGGAGAGTCAACCATATGGACGATGCGCGGGCAATAAAACTCATTCGGCAAAATCTTACTGTTTTTGAACTCGCGTTCTTAGACTGGTGGGACTAATCAAATCCCGTAGATCTAGGGATTGGTGATCCGAACCTCCCTGTACGATATAATACTTGTTTATTGTTTGAATACACACATAGAGAACAATAATCAACTACAATATCAACGCCAGAAGCGTATTGGACTTAATCACTATTACATAGAATACAGATAGGGCACTAATGTTACAATCATTGACATTAAATCATATTTTTGCCCTAGAACAATTGTAGACAGGAACTTGTTATTACCGAGTACAGCTATTAGGAGTATCGTCACTGCATATCCCAAAGCTTCTGAAGAAAATAAACAATGTGGTTAAAATGTCATTTCGGATGGTGACGTTAAGCCGATGACGCACCTATGTAGGAGACCCTTTGTCGTCAGCGGAATAGGCGTCCTTGGCTGTATCAAAGCTAGGCGTAGCAAAGGCTTAAAAGCATTTAGTCAAGCATTGCGGATCGAATTCTACCGAAAGGTACAGGCCTAAAGGAGCCTCTTACAATAATAATCTCTCAATCTTTGCTCAAACCATTAGCACTTACAGAAACGTGTACACATGACTTCGTCCTTCACCTAAAGCACGACAACGGCCGCTATCAACCATGGCAGTATATCATTGGTGGTAACAATACTTACTGGCAGCCATATGGACCTATCAGCTCAAGATTAGATGAGACCTACACAACGCGTCTGCGCAGGACACAACTGAAAACATGTTCTCTCAAAACAATTTATGGAAGTCTCCCACGGTCGTCGAGTAAAATTTACTGGGCATTGCTGTCGAGCTAAGCAACAAATAGTTTCATACCTGCCCTTACGAACACCAAGTGACAGAGTGCGTTGCAGAAGTTAGAATAGAGACACGGGTATTGAACGAATGAATGAATGAATGAAACTTTATTTTCGTGCCGTGCGCTTTCCCGCGCCCAGCCCGTGTGGGCTTATACGACACCGTTTTAATAAATTATACATAAACAAAAGAGAATCAAAGGTACAGATAACAGAATCCAAACAAAATCTGAACACAAATAAAGGTAGGCTATATACATAACAGATCGTAAATTCAAATAAACAAATATGTACAACAATGAACCAAGATCTCACAAAATAAATACAAGTACATAAGGTAAATCAAACATGATAAGAGAAAACAAACGTGCAGAAGTAACAAAAAGTAGAAACTGTTGATGTGTTATGAATACAGGTGTTTTGTTAATTTCGAAAAAGCAATGCTTGATATGGCTATATGTAGAATGAAGTGTACTAGCGTGGTCGCAGCTGATATTTGGGGACCGGTGATGATGATGATATTCACTGACGTGGCAGCCTCTAAAATGTTAATACATGTAGGCATCAATATGGTGAATATCGTTCATCACAAACGTAATTGAATTACAAAGGTAACATTTGCAAGGCAAATGCATAATGTTTACCCTGACACTGCCAAGCAACAGAGTACTGCTCTGTTTATTCTATTACACAAACACATTCATATATTTGGTGTCCAGTGGAACAGAATAATAAGAAATAGAGCAAAACAGAATGTTTCCTTCTGCAAAGGTATAAGTTAGTTTAAGTCCTCCCTGTAACCATTAACACGGTCGCATATGGTGGCGCCCATCTCCGCCCATAGCCCTTGGGCCACACTGTTATACAATCACTGCAGCAAGGGCTAGTAGTGGTTAACTCCCCTACTCTTTCTCAAATACTATGTGGTAAGCAGTGAAAGCAGTATCTACCATTTAAAAAGCCTTTGGTATGACTCGGCCGGGGATCGAACTCACGACCAACCGAATGCAAGGCGAGCACTCTACCCACTTGGCCATCTCACCGGTCAAACGTAGAAGGCTTATTTTTTTATTAGCATGACTATTGATTTAACCTAACATCCGTGTCCATAATATCACCAGGGTCCATAATATCACCACCTTGAGAAATAGTGTGCTTTAAGATATTTTTACTGCAACATACTTTCGGTATTCACTCCTGCACACCCCAAATGTACATATACCTAGGGTATGTTGCAGTAAAAATATCTTTAAGCACACTTTTTCTCAAGGTGGTGAATATTATGGACTATGGTGATATTATGGACACAGATGTTACATATATTTGTTCAACCAGATCTTCACTAAAAAGCGTTGCGGAGTGATGGTGCTCTGTCTGTGGCTGTACGGAGGTGTGGTGGACCTCCCGCTTCACTTCGGCTGGGGTAGTCATGGATACGACCTGAAGACAATGGGCTGCACATACGACCGGACACACACATACGGATACACGCTATACCTGGTAGGTGTACATTAGCTAACAGCTGTAAAAGATAAAAGTTATATGAAGGTATGTTCCAGAAACATGTATATAACCATCAGGTAAAACCGACCTTACTCAAAAGGGACTGGGGTTTGACGTCACGTGTCCGAATGGTCATTTAAGTTAGTCAATGACCATTAGTTACAGTAGTTTTAATTAGGCATTCATATTAAAAATGCTGCATGCATGCAGAAAAGTTGAAAATTCTGTTAATTTCTTTGCGTTGAAAGTAAAGGTATTTTTACGCATTTTCTTGTTTCCTCAGATCGTGATGATTGTCATCCTCCCCCTGTTGACAGTGGCCTACTCCTACACCAACGTCTACATGTTTGTGCGCCATTCGCGCAAGCGCCTTGCAGGTGCCCTGAACGAGGCAAAGGTGAAACAGGATGACCTCAAAGTACGCCGCCATTTTGAATTAGTTCTCTACAGTAGAAAAAAAGCATCATACTGGTCTTTTAAAGTTTAAAAGTCTCTCCATAAAGCTAAGAAACAACCTCTTGGAGTCAATTTCTAAACTTTAATGTTGTTGAGGAGAGATGGCCCTGCTTTTGGGTTCTGTATAATGTTTTAATTTTCCACAAATAACCGCATGTCAAGCTTAACGCCGTCTAGTCTAAACGCTTATGTACGAGGATATTCGCTGAGACTTGATGTCGGGTTTTTATCGGATTCATCCCACCATTGCTGAATTCCGTAAGCCCGTCACTTGCTTGGCTTGCCAGACGTCATAAATAAGAGGTCCCAGGCTTGAAATCTTGCCGCCAGCATAAATGGAGTCTTCAGGGACTGTTTCCCGGGTCAACGACCTCATACTAACAAGAAAATTCCCTCATAATCCTGGCCAATTATTCTGAATTCGCCTGTTCTTACACCAGACAAATTTGTTCTATCCAACCTGCAGAAACTATACTTCAAAAATTTCTTGAAAATACCATTTTAGGACTGAGCTTCGTGTATGCTATCATTAAGAATTATGATCAGGAATAATTATGAAATAGGAAACAATATAAAGTCTCGTAGTTGGATTCTTCAGTGACTTTTCCTGCTGTTCAATATTACACTGATTAACGTCCTGTACTAGACTAGACTAAGGCTAAAGGTGACAGAGAAGTCCGTACGATTGGACACAACTAGGATAGAAAATCCTGACTAACAAAATGTGACAAATGTCAGGGAGGAGTCGGCCTGAGACAAAATGATTTAATGAGCTTCAGTAAGCTATAGCACCCAACAAGCAGAGGTGTAGATATAATGATATAAAATAATACCCGACAGTGTATGTTCATGATCTTGCCTAGATATATGTATATATAAAACGAAATCACAGAATAAACCCAATGATAAGCGTCACAACTGCTGATAAAGCTTTTTGAAGCATTTAAAAATGCTTCAGAGATATTTGCTTTACTCCAGATTATAACTGGCAAGATGAAAAATAAATCTGCTAGGAGGATTGGGCCAATGAATTATTCAAGAGAATTATTTGACAAAATCTTTACAATAGAAACTTCTTCGATGGGTAGTTATATTTAATTATTATAACAAATATTCTGAATTAATTGTTATAAACCTCTGGTGAACTCCGTTCTGTCAGCTGCAGGAGGACCGGTCTTCGTGATGTAATGTAAAACCTTAAGGCTTATAGAAAAATCTATAGTATTTCTTTCTTCTTCTTGGAAGCGAAGTTCCTTGATCCCCTCGCTATAGAAATCTCAAGGAGGATTCCGCGAATATCTTTCAAAATCAATATCGATACATCTTGTCGGTCAATCTTGTTATGTGATTTAAAGTAAAACTAAAAAATGATATCTCTGACTCAGGAAGAAGCCTGGGTACAATCTTCTGTAGCTCCCGCTGGGTCTACCTTGTCGCCTGCTTCCATGGAAGCAAAAGGAAAGGGAAAAGGAAAAGCCAATGGTAACTATGGAGGATGTTACCCAGGCTAGAAGAGGGGCGCAGCTGAGAAGATGATAAACTGAAGTCGACGTTTCCACAAGGGATTTCTAGTTTCAGACGGGTTGACTTTTGGTGGGGACCCTGCTTTCCCTTAATCGATAGATATGGACAGAATTAGGGCATCATTTCATCAAAAACATGGTTGAAAGCAATCAGGGATTTAGAGTTGATGAACGATGGTTGCAACCTGAATTTGTATTTACAACGAGTGAGGGAGGACAGGTCTTCAGGGATCTGTGACCTGATTACTACAGAACTGTTGCTGTTTGTCTGAAATCAAAGCTCGTTTCATGTAAAAGGTCAATTTGAAACTGTATTCAGGAATTAAGAAAAGGGGCTTCTAGCAAAACTATTTCCTGTTGGAAACAAATTACGCGACCGTGTTGAAATTGGAACTGCGATTAATTGCAATTGCACGAACCACATATCAAATAGGTATACGGTCAGCCTGGGCGCCATTGTCGCTGGCTTAGTATACGGTAGCTTTTACAGCATATCTATATATCTATGTATTTACTGTTTTATATTTGCAGTATCGTATAAATGGAGTCTTTTAAAAGGAGTAACTAATAGTTTTTCTTCATGTAGTTTTAGGGGAATTGTTCACGCTACAGATAACTAGAATTCCTGTGCGTCCCGTTCAGCACGAATTCCGTTCCGTTCAGCAGAATTATACAGCAATGAGTTCCACGATCTCATACCTTCGCCAAATGAGGTTAATCGACTGACAGATTAAAGGTTATTCCTCCTGATTGTGCAAATAGAATCCTCATTTGCATGAATTATATCAGTTGGACATATTCTCCACCAAAAGACAGCCTTATCTTAAGAAAGAAAGTCGTTCTATCATTTTCTCATAAATTATGCAAATGAGGTCATTATTTGAATAAGTTATGTTAATGATGTTCACATTCACTTAACTTTTAAATACGCCAAGTGTGAAATTCCAGGCAGTTACCATTATGGAAATAATCTCTGAAAGCATAAACTTCTTGGCGAAGGTAATTATGCAACCGGTATGCATCGATCTATATGGACCCTTAAGCTTAAAGCTGTCTACATAGGCATTTCTTCTATGCTATGCTTCGGTGAGTTTTTGGTAGCTCAAAGTATTCAGAGAAAACGTCCTGCATGGTTTGCATCAAATGTAAAATACGTCTTCACCAATATTTTCCTGGAGGAGTTTTAATGATCGTATTTCTTAGGTATACCTGTGAGACCTAATTATTACCGTGGACTGTTTTCTGAGACTGATTGTCCGTAATTCTATCGCTACCATCATCGAGAGCTGCCATCCAACATTCGTGACCCTGGCATGTTCAGACCATGAGATATCAAAGCCGGAAATTCTGCTGCAGTACCATAACAAGCCTCACATCTTATCATTTGTGAGGCATCATCAAAACCTACGCAATAACAAAGTTTCATGACAACTCATCCAGAGCCTCTTGACTTATCGTGCTAGACCACATACATATACACACACACACATACATACATACATACACACACACACACACACACACACACACACACACACATACACACACACACACACACACACACACATACACACACACACACACACACACACACATACACACACACACACACACACACACACACACACACACACACATACACACACACATACACACACACACACACATTCAAATGCAAACGAGACCTAAAACATAACCTTCAAGCGAAGACAATAATTTCATCAAGTTGCAATTGGTCAGTCATTGGAAGTCGATTTTGAAAAGAGTACTTTGCTATTTAGGAAGCACATATTTCTCTATATCATCTGTAATAATAGAACGATTTTGATCTGAGTATCTGATACTGCGAAAATCTCTCATACCCAGCTTATCAAGACCCTGGTGATCATGTGCGTGAGTTTTTTCATCTGCTGGTCCCCCTACGCCATAGTGGTACTGGCCGACTTCAAGGACAACTGGCCCCAGGTGGGTAAACCTGCACTTCGTACCAAATGCGCTAGGAGGACATTTTACAGTATACTCTGTGATTGGCTTATAAATGGTGATTTCTAGCTGCTCTCTTTGCTGAAACAAAACATCTATCTAGTTTCAGATAACAATATTGTTATGTAAAATGTGCAAAGGTTTGGGTTCTTTTTTCGTATTACCTATTCTCATCTATTTGCATAAAAGCTTCCATGTACGATAAACGTCCATCAACAAATAACACAGATATTTCTATTCTGAAAGGCACGAAATATATTTTTATGAACTAATGGACATAACTATATTTATATAAAATCGCATGCGTGCGCGCACACACACGCACACACCTATATTTATATATCTAAATGTTTAATCGTATATTGTATATGCATTGTATAATCGTATATGATTAGCACCACTCAATTGTGACATTACTTCAAAGACTTATGCTAGCCCTTTTTATTTTGATAATCATAATGTTATGTTTTATTCTATGCCTCTTGTTTGTATTGCATGGCAGATGTTGTCGTGAATTTCACCGTTTACAATTAGGCCACACCGAAGTTAATTTTATGGATGACGCACGCATTGAATTTCGCCTGTTCTCAAAAAAAAAAAGATCACGTCCTCCAAGGCTCTCGCCTGACTCTAGGCCTAGGTAGTCCATGCATATGGCAATTAGCGACAGTACGGATCCGGTGGGAACTCTGGAGGATGGCACCCAGGCTACCGAAGCTCCACAACTCAAGATCTTAGCTAGTACATACGTACAGTGCGGCACTGCCGATTCATAAATTCCGCAAAAATCAGTATGTGCCTGCGTGTCGTATACGTCGCTATGTACTGTCGCAAATTCACAATACCAGCTTTGTATTCCTGTGGTTCTAAGTAGCATTTTTATTTTTGGCCGGAATTTTATTTTATTCGCCCGCGCGCACTAGTTTTGGGGTCTTCAGAGGATGGCATCCATAGAATTAAGACGGCGTGGCCTTATTGTACAATTAAGTTCTCTCCCTTTCTTCCAAATAATCAATACATGGGCGACATATTCCTAATTTTAATAACTTTTTT